TTCAAGGAAGGAATTTTATTTCAGTTGTAATTAAAGAATTCTGTAATGTACTCAGCATAGACAAAACCCAGATGACACCTTTGCATCTGCAGTCAAATGGCATGGTAGAGATGTTTTACTGAATCATCCTTAATAACCTCTTGATGGTGGTTTCTGGAAACCAACAGGACTAGACTAGAAATTATGTCTTTTCTTACTGGCCTATTGCATTGCTATCTGCGAGACTACTGACTATTTTCCATCCCAAATGCTTTTCAGCCGGGACCTTCAGCTGCCTTATGATTTCTTGTTTGGTGGCCCTTCAAATGCCCCTTCATCACCTCAGGTGTACATTCAAGATCTCCAGATGCAGTTTGAAGTAATGTGCAGTTTTGTACAAGGGTGAGTCAACTTGGCCATGGAGAAGAGAAGACCCAATGCAAAACAAGAGCGACAGGACATTGATTCAACGAATGGTACTAAGTGTGATTATGAAATCCGACTCGATAGAAAGGACTTTGTTCTAAACTACATTTACCTTGAGATGGTCATTACACAGCCCTAAACAGACTGAACGATGTCATAGCTTGTATCCATAGTTTATCAAATTCTGAATCTCAAGTTGTTAAGACTGGCTAGTCCTTTACGATAGCCATAGCATGCAGTCCCCATAGTGTATATAATGTGAATAGTACACTAAGACCATGTACTATGTGTATATAAATTTGTAAATGCATGCATTTATTTATTGATTTAGTATATGATTTGTTGTATGTTATTTACTGAAATTATTATTTTGGTACTGTATTTAGTATTCAGTTATTGATTTTCCTTTTGTAAATATGGCTTCCTGTCCAAAGAGGCTGTCCTTTGAAAGGGGGCAATGCTATGAATTTTGTAAATAAATTTAGTGAAATTATATGTAAGTTGCAGTATGTCTTGCATAAAGTAACATAAAAGGCCTCAAGAAATGAAGCTTTGTCTTAAAAATAAGGTTAGAGGGGCAAGTCCATTTAACATTGTGGTAAATGGCTATTTGACCAAATTGGGAGATAGGACCAAGCTGGTGATAATTTTCGAGACTAATTTATATAGAAATCTCCAAGTCGACAAACTTTGTGACATTTTGGTCCAATCCCTGTTTAATTGTAACTGCACCACTGCCTATGTAACTTTAACTATATACTAATTGTAACTGTGTGTGCCATCCAGCAATTTCAAGAACTCTAATGTACTGGAAATTTTTCAGCAGTCAGGGGAGTACTATATAAGACTAGAGAGAACGTCAGTTTAGTTCAGAATTTTATCTCAGATTTATTGAGAGATCCCTATATGAGCTTACACTTTTGGTTTTTTTTTTTTTTTTTTAAATATTGTCTTGTGTTTAACATCTTCAGTAGCTTGAAGTGGTAACTACTAATTGTGCTCTGTTATACTGAGAAGAGCTGTATGAGTACTTTTGTGAAAAATTTCAGGTATGTAATATGTTTCATATGCGAAAATAAATTTCATCAAGCTATCATCAGTTCTGTGTGCATTCAAACCATTACGAACCCATATGCACTCAGCAGGATAAATGAATTCTTTTGGTTTTATATTATGATCTTCCATACAAAGTACCGTAATTTCCGGAAGAAAGGCCGCATCAGCGTAAACACCACACTCGAGAAAAATGGCGAGAAAAAAATTAAAATTACACAGAAATGCCGCATCAGCGTAAATGCCGCAATAGATTAAATTGCGCGTGACATCGTCGTGGGCCGTATAGATGCAAAAACTCAACCTAAGTCCTGATATATGACATACCAGTTAAGAAAAATGCATGAAATGAAACCATAACTCAAAAATAAATTAAAGGTAAGAAATGTATAGCTTCTGTGCCGTTTAGAGACATTTTCAAAAATTTCCCGCTCCCTTCTTACTTAAAACTATCCAACAAGTACTTGTACCCAAACTGATGGGATCTGTATTTGGCAGAATGCCAAGAAAATCCATTCATGCTGAAGGGGAAATACGTCAGAGTTCGTTATTGCGAGGCAGGTGGAGTCGTGTCCGCCTTTGAAAAAAATTGCAGAAAAGGCAGGGGTGGGGAGAGGATGGGTCCTGGAAGATTCATCAAATAGCAGAGAAGAGAGACTATTCAAACTGATGAGAATGTTGATTTGAAAGGGGGAAGAATGTTATTGTTCTGAGATCTCGTTTAGGGTGAATAAGGCATGTAGGTCCGTTCAAGGGAAAGAATGTAAACAAAATAACGTTCGCAAAAAGCAACTGAGTGGTCTTTTGTGTGGGAACAGCACCAGTCTATGCACAATGACAAGGCCATCCAAACTATGTACAATGACCATCATAGGAAATATTTTATTTTTAGTGCACCTAAACGCCACATGGGTAGAAACGCCGCACCCGCTGAAAATTTAAGTTTTAAACACGTAAATGCCGCGGCGTTTCTTCCAGAAATTACGGTAATATTTTTTAAGCAAGCATTTAGAATCTTTGAACGAATTAATCCATTTTGCATTAATTCCTGTGGAAAAAAAATTGTATTGATTTACAAATATTTTGGCTGATGAACTCTCTTCAGGAATGAATTAAGTTCATGAAGCAAGGTTTGGTTGTAATATGGATGTGCAATTGCAAATATAATTGTTAATTTTTTTCTTTTATTGCAATAATTGTTTTTAAACCATTAAACTTATGTCTTGTTGATGAATTTTTTTATGCATTTTTCAATGTTGGAAAAATGTTAAACGAATATTGATAATACTATAGGTTAATTTGTGTAACTTATAATTTAAATAGCTTATAATAAAGACAAATAGAAAAACTCTCATAATATTCTGTAAATAACCATATGTTTCTAGGCTCAGAAATTCTATTCTGGAATATTGTTAATTTCATACCTAGTCCATTGAAAAACTTCTGCATGTAATGGGTGAAAAACTCCTTGGAATATGCTAAAAATCTTTTCATAATTTATTTTTGATGATTGGGGAACTTTTAATATGAAACAAAATTTTATTGAGATAATCTATCAGAGTAGATATTTGAAAGACATATTCTAGACAGATATTTCAGTCCCCCCCCTTTTTTTTTTTTTCATGTAATCATTTGTTTACTTATGTGCTAGACTTCAAAAGTGTATGGGAAAAATAAATGTTAGACTATAAGTGCTAAGTTAAGATATAATATGTAGTATGATAATTTTTGACATGCTTGCAAGCTTGACACTTTTTTCCATCTTTTTAGTCAAATAATCAGTTGGGGATTGGGAGCAAAGCTCATGTATTACTTAATGTTATTGCAGTTCATTCAATGATTTCATGATTCTAAGCAAAATGTTTAGTTGAACTGATGTCTGATGATCATGTTCATCTATCCATTTGTTGAATTCTGTAACCTTCAAGATTCTGCAACCTTCATAGTTGACCACGGTTGCTGTGTGCAACCAGACATTATCATCTATTAAATGAAATGCAAGCAGGAAATAATTTTATTTGCTAATCAAGAGCATTTGGACCATAAATGCTAAGACTAACACTAACAAAGAAATGGTCACTAACAAACCACTAACAAAGGAATGAAGATCAATATGTGGCTTCAAAGTATTCCTGCACAAATCAAAATATTGTCTTGTATGTATGTCTGTGTAGGTGTCACTTCTTTTGACATGCTGAATGTAATGCTAAAAAATCTCAATAATAGAATAAATTTGTATCTTTAACCAAAATATGTAATGTAAATAGATTATATTTTTTCTAAAAATTTATTTCTGTATGCAAATTGCCAATAAATTTCATGCTGTGCCAGGTTTTATATGAATTCAAATTTGTTTACATTTAAAAATGTCTAGTTAATTAACTTTCCTTCCTTTTCTGTACGTAAAAGTGCCACTTTAGTCTACTGATGTAGTACCTCTAAATGCAGACATAATAATTCTAACATCAATTAATTATGATCAGGCCTTCATTTTGCAAAAATTGCTTCCCAAATGTGAAACTGCTTCTGAAGTACATAAGATAGGCAATGACTAGCAAGTTGGCAATCATTGTAGACCTCAGTAACACAGCTTATCTGATTGGTGCATTTATGAGACAGCCAATAAGAACAGGTTTTTATTATTCTTGATTGTTTAGTTAATTACAGGGCATTGCAAAAGCTAAGTTTGAGATGCCTTCTATTTCTTTTTAGTGTAAACTTTAAAAATTAATGTTAAGTACCTTTTTTGAAGAACTGTGTTGCCATGAAATTGGATAAATTTTGTTTGTTTCATAACTTGAATTAAATACTGATTATTTATTTTTTCCTATTAATATGTGCAATAAAATGCATAATCCAAAAAGGGAAAGTAGGACAATTTTTAGAATCCTGGTAACTGAGCTCAATAGATTTAATTTATAAACCATATAATTAAATTAAAAATAAATATAACTCCTTTTAAATTGTGTATATTTAGCCAAAAAGTTAAGAATTTGAATGGGAAGTCAAGAGTTAAGTCTTCAGTTTCTTTTAAGTTTAATTCTTCAGTTTCTTTTTTTAAAAAGTTATTCTAAGTATCATAATTTAAAATTTTATTAAATTTAATTCTTTATTGACCTTTATTGCAGTTGGTGCATAAATTGCATAGTTAATCAAGTTAACCTTTTGATTTTAGGTTGCAGTTCTTACCTTTTTGGATAAATATGTTAAATTTAATAGGACTTATATTTATTTTTAATTTTAATAAAATACACAGATATTTTTTTTTTAAATAATCTAATAATAAATAGTACTTTAGTTTTTGGTATCTCTTGCTATCTGCTGCCAGCTTCATCTGGTTACAGTCAGTTTCTGCCACAAACAAGGCAAAAACTATTTTATAGCAGCAGAATCTTAAGAAAAACACAAAAATCATATGCAACTACCTGGATTGGTACCAGTTGTTACTCACTGTGCCATATGAGAGCCAAAGTATTTTTTGAATATCAATACATTTTTATCAAATGAATAATTTTTCTAACTGTTTAATAATAATTTTATAGAAAGATTAAAACAGAGAAGGTTTTCATCCTCTGAATCTGGTGATGGTTTTTTCTCTCCTATGCGCCCTCGTTTACAAAGAGGAAGAAATTCTTCAGGATTTGGAAGTCGTCGGGGTCATTTTGTAAGGTATGAACCTGAAAACTCATGTTTTTATTATGATATGATATAGATTTTTATGATCTTACAGTATAGTGCTTGCATTGAAATTAAGCATGTGTTGCAATAAATATTTTTTATTTTTAATGTCCTTTATTATTTGTGATTTTCTACATTTCTTTTCATTATTGAAGTTCTGAAGAAGTAAGCCAGATCGTCTCTACTGTTTCTTGCGGACATGTGGGTGATGCACGCTCTGCCCACGGGGTAGGAGGAGAGGAAACTAATTATGTGATTTAAAATTTTCTGGTGCTTTATACCAGTGAAAGTATGTAGTCTTGGTGAGGTGATTTGACATTGTTGAAAGCTTACAAGTTGCTGCGTTGAGGAACAATGCATTTAGTCTAATATTTTTTAATCCATTAATGTTCATTTTATTTTGAGAAGAAGGGTTTGAATAATTTCCTCTTTAGTTTTTAAATTTAAGGCAGTGAAGATTTGAGCATTTCTTCCTTTAGTTTTGACAAATACATGAAAACATTCAGCAGACGTGCGGGCATTCTTGTACATGTTAGCAGCACAAATTTTAGTTATGCTGGAATTTGTGCAATAAGGGCTTAATATTTTATCTCTGAGAAAAAATTACAGGTCTGTAGTGTTACATTAGTTATGATGCAGAAATAAATGAGTAGTAATTAATAATTTCAGTAAGTGCGCTAAATTCACAATGTGTCAACTAGTGTTTTTTCTATGTTGAATCTAGTTTTGACAAATATACAGTTATCTGATTTTTGTTTTACATATCATCTTCAGGATGGGAAGGATGTGCAATCACATGAAAACATTGATTATCTTCAAAAGAATTCAGTTATTTGAGACTGATTTTGTAAGTTTAATAATATGTGATGGTAGAACAAGTATGAAGGTCCCTTTCTATTCTTCCATAACAGTTTATTGAAGGTATCTTTAAAAAACTGAATAAAAAGCCCCTAAATCAACTTTCATGACGCATATTTTTCCTTCAATAAAAAATATTGCTTTTTTTCGTATATGAAGTAAAACATGCCATTTATCAATAAAATTTAGAAAATACTCCACATTTTCATTAAAATCTAGTTTCTTTCAGTGATCTTATGCTTTGAAGTATGAGGAATAGATTTTCTATTATGTATCTTAGAACAGTTATCCAATATGATGTGTTCCTTTCATTTATCTTTTACCACATTCTGATTGACACTGTGCATGATTATGTGCAGATGACTACAGCTGCAACTAATACCCATTTTAACATCTGCATCGACTGTCATTCTTGAGGTAGATTTTTTTGGTTGGCTTAAGATCACTTTCACTGAAGGCAGTTGAATCTGAGTTATATTTTATGAAAGAATGTGAAATTTGTAAATAAATATTCTTTGCCTTGTTTACTGCTGTTTCTGCAACATGAACTTTTGATGTTGCACCTTGTAATCATTGATGATAATTTCGATTCAAGAAGAAGCTTTTGTATTTTTGACATTTAATATTCCAGAAACTAGAAGTGACTTATGGGCACTCATTTAATATGTTTCGAAGGTACGTATAAATGGCACAATTCAATTACATAGTCACTAAGCTTTTACCATCATGTATTCCTTTATGAAATTAAAATTTGCCTTAAATTTCAGGTGCCTTTGAAGAAAAATGTTGACTTATTATAGTTACTATTTCCTGAAATATTTTTTACAGTGGCTTTATTAGGGCACTAATAATGCTTAATCTTTTATTCCATAAATGGCTAGCAACACAGGTTAGGTGATTTCAATAATATGTGAAGTATGTGAAAGCTATCTACCTGAGAGAAGAAATGCTTTCGTAAACAATTTCTAAGGGAAACTGGCTCTTATTCACATTACACATGGGAAAGCTGTGAAAACTGTCCTTGCGGCCCGACTGTTCACCTGAGTTTGAACTCAGGTCAAACTCCCAGTATTCCACAGCCTGTAAAAGTAGTTATACTTTTGTATTCAGGGATCGTACTAATAGTGTTCATATTTAGTTAAAGTTGAAACCTCTTACTTTTTCATGACTTTTGTTAAACACAAAAATTGATTCTTTATAATGAATTCTTTTCTCCTTTCTCATTCAAAACTTTTGATTCCATAAATTGTTGCGAGTTTTAAAATGTGGGAATGGCTTGCATGTATTTTAGAGTAAAATATGTAGAAGTATCACCTGTGTGGTGACCAGGTATGAAGGAATAGGGCCAACGCAGCCTGTATGTGTCATAAAAGGTGACTAAAATAGGTACCAGTTGTTCTGGAGTACAGCCATGTACCCTACCTCTGAGGATTATATCAGGGCACTAGTCCTCCAGTTTGGGGGATTTGATGTGAAACAACTTTACCCTGTAAAAAATTACATGTTATGAATTCTCAGGAAGTATGGACGGACCTTATCCAGATGACATGGAATGAAAAGGAAATGAGGATTGGATCATGGAATGTATGCATGCTGTTTGAGATTAGAGTACTGAAAATCTAATACATGAAGGTAATAGATATGAAATTGATATATTGGCTGTGCAGGAGATAAGATAACTAGAAAAGAGAAAACTAGAGAAGTTACAGCACCTGCTGAGGACAAAGCGGAACTACAAAAAAAAAAAAAAAAAAAAAAAAAAAAAAAAAAAAAAAAAAAAGATGCTTTTTATGACAAGCTGGAAGAGTTATAACAAATGCCCATCTAATGATCTGAGTGGTGATTGGAGATTATAATGTGCAGAACTATACTTGAAAGCACAGCCTGTACAATGAGGTCAATGACAATGGAATGCTTTGTGATTGGAGTGGTAATGGCCATTGGGAGCACAAGTTTTGCACAGAGACATGCATAAAAGTGCATGGCACTTTCCAGATGGGAATACATCGAATCAGATTGATCATGTGTTGATGGACTTGTGGTACAAAAGTAGCTTCCTTGATGTTATAAGTTATTGAGGGATACATGGACTCTGATCATTATTTGGTCATTTCAAAAGTAAGAGGAAGAATTACCAAATGTTATTAGCTTCCCCCCCAAAAAAAAGCACAAAGAAAAAAAATAGTGCACAAAATGAAGAAATTCCAGACAAGGATGCCTTAGGAACCCCTAAGATTATAACTATGTATAGGAATGAGGTAAAGGTAAAACTTCTGATGACTGAGAATAAGAGTAATGAGGATCACAGGTGGGGAAAACTAAGCCCATAATATTAGAGGCAGCTAAGAAAGTGATTCCAGTCCTTAAAAAGAGAAAAGCAAGCAAAGGGAAAATATGATGAGGAGTGTGAAATAATTAACAAAAAGAAAAAACATGCATATCGTCTTATGGTGCAAAAACATTGTACAAGAAATGCTGGTGGTGAGTATCGAGAAATTGGAATACAGGGAAAAGATTATTCAAGGAAGAATGGGGTATATTGGAAGGGAATTAGTATATCTCAAAAACAGAAAGAGGCAAAGAAGTTTTATAATGTAGCAAACAATACTAGAGAAGATTTTTGTCCTAGAATGCACAGCTGCTGTGATAAAACCAGTGAACTTAGTAATGACAAAATTGAAATATTCACGAGATGGAGAGAACATTTCAAGACTACTCTTGATGGAAAAGATATGTTGGATGAATTGGGAGAAGAATCAGGCGACACTTCTCAGAACCATCAAGGCAAAGACCTAGAACCATCATTGATGGATGAAATGACAAAATCAATAAGTAATTTAAATAGTAATACAGTCAAATACTGAAAATCTGTGTTGCCTCTCAAAATATAAACACTGAGTTTATAGGTTCCGGAAACCACAAGATGGAGTATGAAATATCGAAGAAAAAATACTTACCGAATAATGACATCATAATTACCGAATAATAATGAGTCATAGCAGAAATAGCAAATTGTTAACATTATGATAAAAGTCTTTTCCCCCCAATCTGCATCGAGGTAAAAAAAGCAGATGATTCTCTCAACTCTTCTTTCAAGTTCACGATTCACATTGTTATATTTTCTGAACTTTGTTATTTCACAAGATTGTTTAGTGCTGCCGTTTTTTTTTTTTTTTTTTTAAATCTGGATATTTTAAATTTCAGCGCTTTTTAATACAATGACAGATAAGAAGTCCACTCGGGATTTTATTGCTTGCAAGTTGGAAAACGTAAACACGTTGCATTGACGGTAATGCAAAAAGTGGAAATTCTGCAAAAGATGGAGGCAGGTGCTACTCCTCGCTTTATAGCAGTATCATATGGAATAGCAACACAGACTGTGTATGATATACGGAAAAATAAAGAAAAACTGTTGAAATTTTACAGCAACAGTGATCCTAACACTGGAATCCGAAACTGGAAATCTTTGCATGAGGCAAAATCGGCAAACCTCGATGCTGTCTTGTACGACTGGTTCCAGCAGTGGCGGAATGAGGGAGTACCAATTTCAGGACCGTTCCTGAGAGAAAAGGCGAAGCAGATTCATGCTGATTTAGAAATAGATGGAGCCGTGTAATTTCAGCAGCGGTTGGTTGAATAGATTTAAACAGAGACACGGTATACGTTATCTGAAAGCATGTGGGAGAAACACTTTTAGCAGATAAAGATTCTGCAGAGGAGTTTATTGATGAATTTTCTGTGTTAGTGGCAGAAGAAAATCTTAGCCCAGAACAGGTTTTTAATATGAACGAGACTAGGCTTTTTTGGCGATGTTTGCCAAGAAAGCTATTTGTGACAAGCGAAGAAAGTGCACCATCAGGGGAGAAAGATGCTAAAGAAAGAGTTACCATTTTCGTATGCAGCAATGCAGCTGGAACTTACAAATGTAAACTAGTGGTAGTGGGTAAGAGCACCAATTCCAGAGCTCTGAAAGGAGTAAAATCCTTACCTGTGATTTACAGGAGTAATAAAAATCCTGGTTCACAAAACAACTTATGACTGAATGGTTCATGGAACATTTCATTAAAGGGGCTAGAGGGCATTGTAACAGTGTGGGGTTACCATCAAATTGCAAGATTTTACTATTGTTAGACAACTGCTCTGCACATTCAGATAGATAACAACTATTTTAACACGTGATAAAGTCATGGCCCTTTTTTTGCCCCCAAATACTACATCATTGATCCAACCAATGGCCAGGGCATAATACACAGTATTAAATGCCACAATTCTTTCAGGTGACCATTCTATTCCACTCTGCGATTATAAAAAAAAATTCACCATCAAAGATTGCATTTATTTATTAGCTGAATCATGGAATTCTGTTTCCCAAACAACATTAGTAAATGTCTGGCGTAATGTATGGTCATCTTCTCTGTTTATTGAAACTGAGAGTGATTAGAGTGATTTTTCTGGTTCTAGGGTCAGTGCAGCAAGGAAGAGAATTGCTTTTATTTTCAAAAGAAAAAATAAATGAGGAGGCTTTGCAAGAAGATATTGTTGAATGGATGATGTGTGCAGCTAAGCCAACACTGGAATATCAGATGACTGATGATGAAATCAAAGGCTCTTTTTGAACTTGCCACAGCAAGAATATAATTCCGACAATGACAGAGATAGTACATTTGGTAGAAGTGAGAAAATATCTTTTTATGAGGGTTTGGAAAATGGTGATAATACCTAAAATTTTAGAAAATAAAGCTGTCACAGAGCAAGAGATTATGACTCTATGTTTATTTACAAAAAAAAAAAAAAAAAAAAAAAAAAAAAAAAAGACTTACTCTGGAGCAACCTAAAGTTTTTAAAACAAAACTCCATCAGAAAAATGTATGAAACATGTAGAAAAAAAATAAATTTTTATGCTTCTTAATTCCTTTATTTTTGTCTATGAATACATCCCTAATGCTTTAAAATCCCTGTAAGCATAATGTAAAGAATACTAATACATATAATAAATTATATATTTAATAATTAATGTACATAATAATTATTGTAATAGTGTATAATAATTTAATTAAATGTATCTAATACGCCTTATTTATTTTGCACTTTTTGTCTGAATATTATGATTTATCTTTTCTATTCTGAAATCCGCACAACCTTTGGTCCCAAACTTTGCAGATTTCTGGAATTCTACTGTAGTTTCAAAGGACTGCATGGTATCATGGCCCAAACTTTTGATTTTCAAGGAATCTAAACTGACTAAAGAAATACATTGTATTGTCTCCAGTGCTTTGGAGAATAAACACCCATAGAATGGAAAGGTGGTTTCATATACCCAATACATAATAAAGGAGATAAACTGGAGTGTAAGAACTACTTAGGAATCACACTGTTGAGCACATCATGTAAGATGTTCTCAAACATTCTATCATAAAGGCTAGTTGCTTTTACAAAATAAATAAATAATAATTGGAGAATACAGGTGTGGATTTCAAAAGGGTAGATCGACTACCAACCAAGGCGATGATGGAGTTGGGAATATCTGAAAAATTGATGAATCTGATAAAGATGACCCTTAGGAGAGTGAAACTGAGAACTGAATGATCAGATTTTTTGTATACTGAAAATAGACTAAAGCAAGGTGATTCTGTTTCCTGCTGGCTGTTTAATATCACCATTGAAAAAGCAAGAGCCTCGGGCATACAAACCTAAAAGACTATATTCATAAAATCTGTGCAGTTGGCCTTTGCTGATGACATTGACATTGTGGGAAGAATAAAGGTGGCAGTAGTTGAGGCTTTTTGGATGCTTGAGTCGGCAGCAAAAAATATTGGTTTTACCATCAATGAAGAAAAAACAAAGTTCATGTCAGTTACAAACAGGAGGCATAACCTGATACCACTGAAAATAAATGACTATGTTTTTGAGGAGTTTGAACAATTTAAATATTTGTGTACAATTATAAATAATAATACTGATATAACTGTTGAAATGAAGAACCAAATTAACATGGCTAACAGGTGAAATTATGGATTACAAAACTAGTTTAAATCACTACACTTAAGCAGCAAAATTAAAATACAGTTGTATCAAACCTTAGTAAGACCTATAGTGTTGTATGGAAGTGAGTGCTGACAATGAATAAAGCAGACCAGGGTAGAGTAATGACATTTGAGTGAAAGGTTTTGAGAAGTGTTGCAGCAGTAAGGGAAAATGGAGTGTGGATAATAAGATATAATTTTAAACTACAGCAAAAATCTAGAGAACCAGATATAATAAGAGGTATTAAATCCTCTCAACTAAGATCGTTAGGCCATATATACAGATATGGAGATAAAAACCCAATGAAGAAACTGACATTCCAAAAGTCAGAGGGAAGGAGGAGAGAAAGACCATGAACGAGGTGGCTAGACAACGTGGGAAAGTGATTAAAGAACACTGGTATCAATAGGTGGATGATTGTGGCATTGGATGAGTCAAGATGGCAGAAGCTGACTGAAACAGCCTTGTCTGGAAATTGACTGTAGAGTATAAGAAGATCTAAAAGTATACTTTGAGCCTTATTTAAGCACACAGTGCAGAATTAAACATGCAGAGTGTTATCATACTTTAGAATCCAATGTAGAAAGGAAAAACTGAAGAAGCTTGTGTTACTGCATTAATGATACAAAGTCATGGCAGTAAGATAAGTCTTTAAAGATTCATCTAAATTTATTCTCGGATTAACTGTATGAAAAATATAGCCGAGTCCTTTATAATTAGCATGTTCTTAACATTCTACAAATATTGCTTATTTTAATGTAAAGTTGAAAAAGTTTATTTTCAATCACGAGTTTTAAATTTCTCTTAAACTTTTAAATTTGATTAATTTATTGGCATGTATAAAATGTATTTATTGGCACTCATACCATTTCTACATTTTATTTCAGAAGTCGAGAAAGATTCCCTTCATCACATGTTGGTTCTGTAATGCTTGATCCTCAAATTATACTTCAACAAGCTGAAGATAAATATCGTAATGGAGTGATCTCAAAATACGAATATTTAGATTTATGTCATCATTTGCAAAAAGTATTGGAATGCAGTCAGCAGAATCTGTATTCAGATTTAATTTCCCAAACGCAGGCAAGTGTTTCAGTTTACATTAATTTTTCAATTATTTAAGTAAATAGGTGTATTTGAAATATTTTATGATAATCTGGGTGGTTTCAAAGCTTTTTCTTGAAAGAGTTATGTGTCTTGCTGTGAAATTAGTTTGTATGGCTCTAAATACTGCTGCAGCATTCATAAATACGAAGTAAGTTTTAAATAATTTTTTTATCGTGTCAAAAAAGTATAGGTAGGGTAGTACGGATAGGGAAAGAATTTACTTTTAATTTAAAAAATATTTCTTGAAAAATAAGATTAAATCAAATGAGTGACGACTTTCAAAATTTGTTAAAGAAGGAAGACATCTATTTGAAGATTCTATTCTATCATGAAGTGTTTTAGTATGCACCTAGCTGTATAATTTCTGTCTGATGAATGACATAATAAGAGACTCTCAAGCAACAGTAAAAGTTAATTAGCCAGTGTATATGTGTGTGTTACTAAAATTCTTCTCAAATATACTATTTTTTCCATGCAAAATGACACAACTGCAGTTTTAGATGTTTTGAATTATAGTACTTCTTCTGTATGTTCTTTTTTAACTTTGTACACTGTGGAAAAAAAAAGTTCGATATCTCCCACTCTACTGATTGACAAAATTCAACTTCTATTTTTCATGTCTCAAAAGTGTGACTTAGGGTATGTATTAGATTGATATATAGCATTTTTCTACTGTAGGTATTTTGACACAAAAATGGACTTTTTCTGAAATGACATTCCATTTTTTTTTTCATATTTCGATTCTACGACTCAAATTATGCCAAACTGCCAAGTTTTGTAAAAATTGCACGAGAACTTTTTAAAAAATTAGCTCTCAAATTATACCAAAGTTTTGTAAAAAATCGCACAAGCAATTTTTATAAAATGAATTCCTCCATGTTAATTGAATTTGGTATATATTTGTTAATATCTCTTTTTTTATTAAACGTATTTGATTCTCCCTTTCACATTTTGAAATTTAGTTTCATTTCAAATAAAATTCACCTATTTTTTGTTATTGATTTTTTAAATTTGTATTTTAAAGTATTTTTAATAAATTTTTTGAAAACAATTTTGAATTATAACCTATGAAATTTTTAATATCATCTTAAAGTAGATCTATTTCTAGGTACATCTGCAAAAAATTAAAGTTTTTTTATTCAGAATTTTTTAAGATATACATGATTTTACATATTGGCGTGTTTTGAAATTGGGCATATTTGAAATTAGGCATAGATAATAATGCCAAATGTGGTTTGTGCACTTTATTAAAATTATTTGAAAGCATGAACGATGACCTTTCCCCCCTTATATACAATGAAAAAAGGAAAGGAAAATAGGTTGCTATGAATTAAGAAGTTTGCCAGGTGAATTATTCTTGGCGCTACTTAAAAAAATGTGGCAAGGTAAATTTTTGAATTTCTCCATAAATTTAACAGCTAATTTGATAAAATTTAATAGTTAAGCATAATTTGAGTCATAGAATCGAAATATGGAAAAAAATTGGCATGTCATTTCAGGAAAAGTCGTCTTTGTGTCAAAGTCCCATAGTGAACATGCTGTATATAACTAATACATACAAAGTCCAAATCCGGATCATCGGGACTTCGGCGATTCCGGATTGGTGATTTGCCGATATTAGCTCATAGCTAAAATCTCGTAGCTACCTGTAGAAAATAAAATTAAAAAACGGAATTGCGATTTACGAAATAAGGATTTATGATCTAAAGGTATCAAAATTTACAAAAAAGTAATATTGATTTGTTGAACTATTAAACATTTCTTTCGTGTAATGTTTAGTTGCGTCGTTTGGTGTGCTAATACTTTCTCTTTAATTCGTATACAAGATAATCATTGTTCAGTTACATGTTGAAGTCTGTAACTGCTTTCGAGAATTCCGACTAACTTGTCAATCGAAATGTTCTCGTTTAGTAACTTCTCTGTCATTTCTTAACTATCGGTAGCGGTATTTTCGTATCTATAACATACTACAATTTGCCATTTATTAATTGAAGGATGATGAGAATCATGTCATCACATGAAAACTTCTTATATCATCTCCATTATACCGCTTCTCCAAATTTCTTACAAATCCTTAATTGGAAAATTTCACCTTGTTTGCGATATCCGAAACTTTTAAATTGCAGCTTTATCATCAAATTCTAACTATCTCACATAATATTGGCATGCATCAGACCTTCGAACTAACGACAAGTGTTCCATGAAATTTATCTGCTTCTATCTGCATTGAGATAAGCCTGATTGTATTAGTTAGTTATTTATTATTCTTAGTCTATTTCTTGACATACTTAGGCTTAGCAGAGTTTGAATAAATAAATCCACGGTATTAAGCCTATTGAGGGCGACTCTAGATATCTTACCCCTGATGCAGACTCCTGTCCGTCCTAAATTCTGCCACCATGTGGCAATGGCCCTGGCTCTGAGTTTATGTGGTAATACATTTTTCTAATTCAATCGCATAAATGTATCTTTTGGCCTTGATATCATTAAAATATATTTTATCATATGAAAATAAATTGTTAAAGTTTCTAGTCAACATTTGTTGTGTCACTTTTTAAGTAACATAATGGCTACCGTACTCATTTATTATTTAATTGCTAAAAACAAGTGTTTAGAACACTCATGAGTCATTACTCAATTGTCATTTTTGATAACAGCGGTGATGAAAGAAGTATAATAAAAATAATGATTCGTTAGGTTGGTGTCAGATTAACGATGTATCTATGTATTCCACATTGGTTTGAGATGGGTGCCAAGCAGGTAGGCAGCAATAGGGCCAAATTACTGATCATACAAATTTAGTTAAAAAGTGTTATCATACAATAGGTATTTTATTTAGTGTCGAAGTGAAATTAAGAATCAGGACTCTCCAGATATTTTATTATGTGTGGAGGGATGGAATCAAATGCGCATGTGTGAAGCCTACCAGAAAAACGTTGTTGTGGTTTGAGGTCGTATTTATTCGTTCCGGATAATGGATGTCTGGATTTCGGACTTTGTACCGATTATGTACTAAGTCGCACTTTCAAGACACAAGAAAGTGGAATTATGATCTACATATTATGTAAATTATTGTTATTCAATACAAATGTATGTATTTATGTCGAGTGAAATTAAGAACATTACTCTCCCGATGTTTCGATGTGTGGAGGATGGAACAAATGGCATGTGGACGCCTACAGAAAACGTTGTGGTGTTTTGAGGTCCGGATTTTAGATCGTTCCGGAAAATGGATGTCTGGATTTCGGACTTTGTACCGTATATGTACTAAGTCGCGCTTTCAAGACACAAAAAAGTGGAATTTGAATTTCTTCAATCGGCCCAGTAGAGCGGGAGATATAGAACTGCCTTTTTTTTTGTTTTTTTGCGCAGTGTACATTATAATGTGTTAAAAGAAAGTTTATTCTGTAACATTAAGCACTGTAAGATTCTAATAATGCACAAATCACGTGTTTTGTGGATTAGCAAATTTGCAATGATTATAAATCATGTCTGGTTACATTTTCTCTTCAATTCTTACATTAAATCTGGATTGTTTAAATAACTGACTATAATACATGTGCGATGTAAAAACAAGCCAGTTTCTCATACATGTCCTTCAGGATGGCGTACCATCCCTTAGGCAGATAGCCTTTGTGTGCTTTTTATGTTCCGAAAACCTGAAAAGGTTTATAAATTAAAAATTAATTTTAAATAATAATAAAGTCTAAAATGAGAACAATCATGTATGATCTGTGTTTACTGAAAAGAGAGAGCATGTGTGCAGAAAATGCAAAATAGCTTATAACATAAATCCACATCTTCAAATAAAATATGTTATAAACATTCTGTATTATTAACAAAACTTATTGCATTTTTGTATAATAAAAAGTACATAAAAATGAGTGCAGATTGTAAGCATTTATGGTTTAAGGTGTCATGGATTATCAGAATTCTACTGTATTAAAAGGTAGTATAATGTATGTCCCCAAATAGCGATATATTTAACTAAAAAATATGCGGAATTTCAAAAGTCCATGTTTACTGTAAAGAGAGCATTAAGTACAGAAAGTGCCAAGTAAATTCTGTACCAAAATAAATTTACTTTTTCGATCAAAATATATTATATTTTTTTCCTTTTTTGCTAAAATTTTTATTTGCATATACACATAAGAAACAATACTTGTTAAATTTGTTATATTGAATTTTCTGAAAACCTGAAATTTTGTTTACATTTGATGTTGAATGCGGATTATAGGCATTCGCAGATCATCTGGATTCTGTGCATTTGAAAACTGTTTATAAATTGATGTCATTATTCAATTTTTCTCAAAACTAAGTGCATTCCAAGCATATAAATACAATATTCATGAAGTAATGTCGTACAGATTTGTAATTTTGCAATGGATTTTACAAAGTATTTTATAGTTTTACTTGTTAGAGCTTTGATTTCTACAAAGGAAAATTTCAAGGAGTTAAAATGTGTAATCTTTACCCATATAGTGAATTACATTTGATTTCATGTATAAATAAGAACTGTGACATATTGCAACCTTAAGGTTTCAAAATATTTCCAGAAATTTTTTTGCACATGTTTTATTTGAAATGTAAAAATAATTATATAGTTACTTTTCTACTAACATCTGTTATGAACCACATTCAGATTTTGGTAACTTTTCACTAGATGGAGAATTTGTTTGACATATCCTTAGCACTAGATTTAATGAATCTAGGTGAATTTAAAATATCAGGAACAGTTTTATCACATATTTTTACCTGAATTTCTATTTCATCTTTTATTTCTCATAAGAACTTACATTTTACAATTATGCCAAATTTGGAACCACTATAATTATTTAAAGTAGCGGTTGATTCAATGAAACATATATATTTAAATTTGGTTGTTTAAATTTAGGCAAGTTGGCTGTTTATTACTTCCGGCTACTATATTGTTGGGCCAGGTTCGAATACATGAGAAGGCTTTGATATTCATAAGT